CACTCACTCACACTCACTCACTCACTCACTCACTCACTCACACTCGCACACACAAAAGGAGAATGGAATATTCAAGGGGTTGAAGAAATAATGAGATAAATCCTTGACAGGCGCATCAAATGACCAATTTAGATCTCTATGGCAATATCAGATGCTGCTGATTCAATTATGGAAGGAACGTGCAAACAAAACCCATCTTCAGAGGGTGGAATAATTGATTATCCTACCCTAATGTGCGCACTTGTGTTGTTATAATGGGAATTCACAGGAGCTGAAGAACTGACAGTAGCTTCTGCTGTCGGCTTTGAGTTATACTAAGCATTTGACTGCAATTAGAGATCAATACTGTCTGCGGCACATGTAGGGTTAAAGCTGAGGTACCGAACTAGTGGATTAAAATACTGTAATGAAGCACTCGAAGTAACCTGGCAGAAAGCAAAGTCATTCACTTATAGCTGAAGGAGAAAAACTAGCTTGGTGGAAAAGGAAAACAGTTAAATAAACCTAGTGAACATGTGGGCTCGTGCAAAATCCCATGCTCAGGTACGATGAGGAATTAAACCCTAAAGGTAAATCAGCCTCTGGTGATTTTTTAACAAGATAATAAATAGTTCATGCCGTATGTGTGTTTGTGCGCAACTCACTTGTCGAGTGCTGAGCCCTGACTCTGGTTGCTTGTCAGGCGGGAAAAGACGTTGCGGTCGTTACGTGTTCGGAGAGGAGGGGAAGAAGGAGGGGTGTAGCCTACGTCTGGACTTCTGACATAAAAAAAAAAAACATTTTTTAAATACACACAAAAAACAGCATGTCTGATTAAAGGAAAGAGCTGGTACACACTTCACCTTTAAGTATGTTCAATTGTTGGTTTTCAGAATAGCTTATTACCGAAACATACTATTTCTGCAGTATATGTCAAGGTCAAATTTATTTGTATAGTAAAATTAAAATCAACATTTTGACCCAAGTGCTTTGCAGCAGTAAATGAAGAGCCATAGTACATTAATAACTAAATAAAAAAGTAAAATGAAAATAACAAAAATAGAAAGAGTAAACACTACAACCATAACACATTTAAAATGAGATATTTATATTAACTAAATAGACACATACTGTATTATAATTGTATAATAACAATAATAAAAAAACTATAAATCCATCAAGGGACCATCTTCGTACATTTTCATTTATAAATGCAAATTTATACTAAATATTATGTTGTTTGCAAAATTAAATAATTGGTTTTTACATTGTCATTATACTAAATGTCTAAGGAAATGATTAAAACACATCTGGAAAGAATATCTTTGCTCTTAGATATATAAACGTGAAGGAAAACCTTTATGTATTTTTATTACTTTTTTTAATTATTAGTGTATTACTTATTGATTGATTTGTTTTTACAATACAATGTTTTACAATGTTGTAAAGCAACAGGAAAACCCCACACAAAGATTCTCATTATGAAATAAATGTTTTTCTCTAATGCACGTTGGCCACAATTAATGGTACCCTTAGGAATTCTTATGAGTAAAATATCTCTGAAGTATATTCCCATTCATATTTACCATTTTTAGCACACCAGGGTGATTATGAACATGAAATAATCCAGCCATTGCTTCCTGTTTCACAGGATTATAAATGTGAGGGAAAACAAAGGTCAAATTCCCTTAATCATCCATCACAATGAGTAAAACTAAAGAATATAGTTCTGATGTACAGAACAAGATTGTTGAGCTTCACAAATTAGAAAATGGCTTTAAGAAAAGAGCTAGAGCATTGAAAATCCCCATTTCCACCATAAGGGCAATAATTAAGAAGTTCCAGTCAACTAAAGATGTTACAAATCTGCCTGGAAGAGGAAGGCCCAATCCCAATTCTACCCCTTAGCCCTCCCCCTTTCCTGTGGGCGTCTCAATTCTCTTTTGGTTGGAGGGGTAGGGGGAAGGGGAAGGGCCAGATAGCCCTTCAAACGAAGATTTTTCTGGACCACACTTCAAACGAAGGGGTATGAATTATCTCAGCGTAAACCGGATTCAGCAGCAACATGGCTGCCCTAGCGAACAAAAAGACACATAAATGTAAGCATTTTTGGCATTAATAAAGATTTTAATGAAAAGTAATCATTTGTTTTATGTTACATTCAATCGTGAGTTCATATTTACGGTCATGTTACTCAAAGAAATGTTTGCAAAAAATCGCTAAAGTTTGCTAACGTCATATCATTACAGACTGCACGATAGTGCCACAACATATACAGTATTCATGTCTGATCATGACGATAACCACCATAGACACTGAGGGGACCAGTCCCCCCAATAATTAGAAATCGCTAAACCCTTTTCTTAAATATTGCCAATTCGAGAGAGAGAGACAGAGAGAGACAGAGAGAGAGAGAGATGAAAGTTGCGTGTATGCACGTCTGTGCGTTTCTCTTTTTAGAGTGAGTTTACTTCAAAAACAGCGATTTTATCCTCTCGTTGCTGGAAAATATAACCTAGTGATTCAGTATTCAAACTGTTATTAATAAAAGTCGTGGGGCAGTGTTGACAAGTTTCTTTTCTCCTGGATGTGTGAGCTGCGCGATCTCCGATATATATATGTGTGTGTGTGTGTGTGTCAGTAAGCACCGCATTCATTTAGAATGGTAAATAAAGGCTCTAATGCACACCAGTACACCAGTATAGGTGTGTGTATTGTAGGAGCTAGAAGACGTATGATGACGTGTGACGGTATAATAGTGGTGTCCCAATTCTTAGGAGAATATTTTCACCCCTACCCCTTGACACTTTGTTCAAGGGACAAGGGGAAGGGGTAGGCGGAGGGGTAGGGGAAGGGGAAGGGGAAGGGGTATAAAATATAATTGGGATTGGGCCGAAGTGTGTCTGTATCGTCCTAATGCACGGTGAGGAGGAGAGTTTGAGTGGCTAAAGGCTCTCCAAAGATCACAGCTGGAGAATCGCAGAGATTAGTTGAGTCTTAGGATCAGAAAGCCTAACAAAAAACTTTTTTTTTTTTAAATCTCAAACAGCCCCTACATCACCACGTGTTGTTCGGGAAGGTTTCAAGAAAAAAAAAAATCAAGAAAACTAAATGCTCTCATCCAAAAACAAACTCCAGCATATTCATTTGTCAGACACTACTGGAACAGTAAGGACTGAGTTCTATGGTCAAATGAAACTAAAAAATTAGCTTTTTAACAGCAAACACTCAAGATGGGTTTGGTGCACACAGGAGTAAAAAAGTACTCCATGTGTACAGTGAAATGTACTGCTGGATCTTTAATGTTTTTGGTGTATTTTTCTGCCGGAGGTCCTGGACATCTTGTTTAGATACATTGCATTATGGATTCTATTAGGGATGTGCAATATATCGAAATTATCGAAATATCGCAAATGTATATATCGCAATATGCATATCGCTACGGCTTGCAATATTTGGGGCCATGAACAAAAGACAAAGAGAAAATCACTCACTGCTCTTACCTAAATAACTTTTGTAGCTTAAATAAGAATCAGTGCATATTGAATTCATAGAGTAAATACTAAGCAGTGTTGTATTTTTCCTTTTTATTATTCAGTTCAGTTCCTAAACTCATGTTAAAATTATATTTTTATGTAATGCTAGAGTAAAACACTACCGTTCACTTTCAGAAGTTGTTGTAGGGGTGCTTTCTTCTCACAAAAAGTGAAACATGTATGCTAGTTATATTAGAATCAGAATCAGAATGAGCTTTATTCACCACTTAAGTGTGCGCAAACACAAGGAATTTGTTGTGGTTTTACAGGAGCTCTTGATACATACATACATACAAATAACCATATATATATGACACAAGATAGTTAGAAGTTCACAGAACTGACTCAGCAACAGCTGAGTAAAACTCTTTCATCTGAGCATGTGGCACTTTAAGCATTATCGTATCGCATATCGAATATCGCATCATTTAATGAGTTATCGCATATCGCATTTTTCTTCAATATCGCACAGCCCTAGATTCTATCAAATAACAACAGATAAAAAATCAAAACCTGACTGCCTCTGTTAGAAATCTTAAATTGGGCCAAGGTTGGACAATGATCCAAAACAAAAATGTCTCACTGAGCACAAAACGAATATTCTGCCATGGCCGTCCCAGTCCACTGACCTGAACCCTACAGAAAATGAGTGTAGTGAACTGAAGAGAAGAAGCTGGGAATCTGAAGGATCTGGAGTGATTCTGGATGAAGGAATGGTCTCTGATCTCTTGTCAGGTGTTCTCCAAACTCATCAGGCATTATAGGAAAAAACTCAGAGCTGTTATCTTGGCAAAAGGATGACGCAAAAAGTATTGAATAAAAGGGTACCATTAATTGTGCCTACGTGCTTTAGAGAAAAACATTTATTTTATAATGAGATTTCCCCCCCATTTTAAATTCTTATTTTTCAATGAAAGGTTAGATTTTTGTAAATTTTTAAAATAAAAGATCAATAGGATTAACAATGCAGATTTATTTACACAGCCTTTTTTGATCATATTTACCAAGGGTACCAACAATTCTGATCACAACTGTAAAATAAAATTAGTTTTTATTAGTTTTGCGATTTCTGTCCAGTCTTTAGAAAGCAAAATGAAATGGTAATAAATTCTGTTTTTATTTTCCGTTGTTTTGTTTTTTTCTCGTAACTGTTGCCCTGAAATTTCCCCTAGCAACTAACCTTGCAATCTAAAAGCACTATTTGTCAGATTTCTGATGATGAAGTTACCTATATGGCTGGCCTCGATCGTATGACTGCCTCCTTGTTAAGGGAGAAGTGTCATATCCTCTGGACTGCCTTGGGCTGAAACATTAGCATAGAAACTGTGTTACACTCAAAATAACTGAATAACTGTGAGGAGACAGAATCCAAAATCCTGATTACACCTTGATCCTATAGAACTGAATATAATTTATTCCAGTATGAGAGGCTTGAGCCTGACATTTCCACTCACAAAGTGTGTCCTCTGACAGGCAGGCTGATGGTTCGAGACACCAGCTCTCTGGAGTAGGGCTCTTTGAGGACCAGGCCGTTCTCATGAATCTCCGACAGAGAAGCCAGGGACTTAGTGATGTTCTTGGAGGTGAGGTCCAGAATCGAGCCCAAATACTCAGCTGACACCGCCTTCATTTGTGCAGAGAGCCGAGGCTCAACCTTTGAGAGGAAACGCAGTAAATAATTCTAAATACTACACTGCCACCTGCTGGTTATAACAGAAACGAAGCGCTGCTTTCCAATGCTGCTGAGCCATTTAACATACAGTAGTCATGCCATAAAATATTACTTGATCAAATCTAAGACACAAAGTTTGAGTTTACCTTTATCTTAAAGTCATCTTGACTCGCAGACAACTTCATTTGGGAAAAACTGTAGCAGGGAGTTGAGCGGTGAAGTTCAAATATAGATTTGATAGATTATTTCATCAACATCATGTGTGAATGTACTGTAAGAATGTATTCATACCCGCCCTCTGACGCCTGGCTGAACTCAGACGCATCCTCATCTGTGCTCGCATAGCCATTCTCTGAGGAATATATGAAACAAAATGACAAATTTACACCATAACTGCAAAAACACAATGTATTTGAAACTGGTTTCACTATAATAATTTGAAGAAATAAAAACCTCTCAGTTTCTTTCTATAATACTACAGTACAGTGTCAGCTGCACATACAAAACATTTTTGTTATAGATATATATATTAGGGTTGTGACGGTGAGGAAATTTTCCCACCGGTAAATTCTGTATCACAGTGCTGTGCGCATTTTACTTTCACTTTCAAATTAGCGGCAATTGAATTGGCGCAATTCGGCGTTAAGCAATTGTTTGTTTGAGTTTTCCCTCTTTTCCTCGGATTTCTTGGCTTTCAAACAGCTAGAAAAAGCAAAAATCAAACACTGTGGAACCAAATAAATAAGAAACATAGAACGTTTATTAGCAAAACGAATAAGAAAGCTTGGAGGCATGGTATATACACCTTGATGTAAAATAAAATAAAATACACAAAGTTTAAATAAAGTAATCAACAAACACTGTGGAACCAAATAAATAAGAAACA